ATGCCCGTGGATCCTAACAAACCATACACGCCGGTAGCAGCCATTGATGCTGGTAAGTTATAGTAGTTATAATTATTTGATGATTGTTTACTACCTTAAGGAGAGCCGAGGAGATCACTGCTGTAAATTCAAACTGTCTAGTCAACAGTTATCGATGTACGGTAATGATTGATTCAATCTCACAGGAAAAGCAGTGGCATTAATCCTCATTAACCCAGCACAGCATGCCGGGAAGACATATAATATAGTTAGTAACCGACACACGATGAACGAAGCATGCCAGGAATTTTCACGACAACTTGGCAAGGTTGTAAAGTTTGTACAAATATCGTATGAAAAAGCGAAGGAGAACTTCCTAATGGCTGGCGTACCAGACTGGCAAGTTGATGGTATGATACATAGCTTCAGGTAAGTCAAAAATGTGATCATGAGTTGATGGTTTGCGTACGAGTTAAGGACAATATTCATAGAGAATTAGCTAGAATTTGAAACTGTACGTTAATTAAATTAATTCCTTCTTAGGCCCGATTAAGTCGTCGATCTTTGCTGCAGCTAATTTCTAATTGTTTACAAGTCGTTCACGAGTTTAATGAGTTCGACCAACTGAACAAAGCTTTGGCATAGGGAGGGGGGGGCAAGGGGATTTTGGCATAGGGAGGGGGCAAGGGGATTTTGGCATAGGGAGCGGGGCAAGGGGATTTTGGCAAGTTTAATCATGTATGAAGAAAAATTAAAATATTTTGATCGTAATATCTGTGATACAACAAATAAAATGCATTAGTTAGAAAGCCTTGTGGTCAATCAAGGGATTTTCCATCAAGAGGCAGCCAAGCTTATCCATAAAACAAAGTAGACGATACTTTGATAGAAGGAACTGATTTGCATTTTTCTTGGCCTGCAGGATGATGGACGAAGGATCCCCGGCGAGCAATCTCCAGGACATTGAAGACTTCCACAGAATAACAAACATGGCACCGACATCTCTTGCTGATTGGATTGCTACCAATAGATTTGCTTTTCAATAAAGCCAACGGTGTGCACACCTCTTTGATAAACCAGTAATCACGTGACATATACCTCTTAACACATTTGTTTTCTCGTGAGCTTCTTATTCTCCCGGGGGGAGGGGGGGGGGATACTCCCATATTTTTGCTATACGGGGACGTGCCGCTGGCCATGGTATGGTTTTTGGCCTTGCTGTCTTAAACAGGGTATACATTTCACCCGAAATTGTCTTAAACAGGCYCKACAATTKAGATAAAAGACCGATATAATTTTTTTTGTGTCTTGGACAGGGTAATATTTTCATAAGAAATACCGTAGAAATACTAGAAATACCGTTTCACTGTAACAGGATTAACGTGTTATCAAAAACTTCTTATTGTCTTTGATGGATGTCAGTGTAATTGCAGTTTTGATGGTTGCGGCGTAGATAGCGATTCCTTATTTTTCCGATTTGTCTTGAACAGGGTATGTCTTAAACAGGGTCAGGGTTTTAGACCGCTGGCGGCACGTACCTATCCAAAACGGGGTCGAGTACCACCCCYCCTCCCCCCGGGCTTTTTCTATATAAGAACATTTCGCATATTTATTTGGAGGAATGAATTTTATCTTTATTGAGAAAAGATAGACTAAAACCATTTTCTTGGTAAACTGTACTAAAATTACAGCAATTAAAGAATRAACAACCACAGGTAAGCCAGGGAGATGTATTTTGTTCAACGATAAAAATGTGTAAAATACAATAGATTGCATGAAGTCCAAGTCTGGTATATTAATAATATAACAATAATGACTAGAAATCACAAATGATAAAAAAATAATTAATTTTATATACCGAGAACTGCCTCCCTCGCTTGAAATACCGACTTCTTTTAATAAAAAACTTTTTTTTTAAAGATAAATAAATATGACATCTTATTATAACCTGAAGCATACAGGAAAGAAAAGGGTTATTGCGGAAAGATGATTCACCCGGGATGATTTGACAATATGAGGAATGTTTCCAAACTAATAAAGTTATAATTATTAAAAACCTTTTGTCGAATATCAGCACCTGTAGTACTGGGGTCAGCTGGACACCACAATATCATAAGTCAAATTACTGGGTTTTTTCAGGTAGACTGTCAAACTGCAGCGCTTGCTGTAAGGTGAAAAAGCGTAAAGATTTGGTAGTGTRGTCGGTATAGTGCGCTAACAACGACAGGAAAACCTTAGCAAATGAGAAAAAAGAAATTACAAGAAAGGCGCAGACACAGAGACAAGAAATAGGAAGAAATCACACAAAAAAACATCGATGGAATAATGTGGACATTMAATTTCACGAGCGAAACCAACTTGACTAACATCAGTAATTCATCCTTCGATGATTCAGGCCGAATCTCTAAGGCTTTGGCAATGTTTGTATTTGGTGGAGTTAGTATCATAGACAATGCCTTTATAATCCTACTAGCTACAAAGTACACAGTGAGAAAAAACCTTCATCATTTGATCATCAACATGGCCGTATCGGATATTATCATCGTTTTGGCTAAGATCGTGCTTGTCACTAATCATGGATTTGTAAACATTTGGTTTGCGCTTCCTCGACTTTTGTCTCTATGTCTTTGTAAAATGATCTTACTCATGGCTTTTGTGTCAATTTTGGTGTCTGCGATGTCGTTATTGATTGTAAGTATTGAGCGTTTTCGAGTTACGAGGCGACGTCTTCACATATCAACGCCTTACACTCTCAAACAACGCATGGGAATAATCGCTTGTACGTGGTTGACATGCATGGCTCTTTGTTCCTTCACTTTCATTCATGGACAGGTAATCGAAAAGGAACGCGGTAGCTACATATGCAGTACAGGAGGAGTCCATTCGACATGGGAAGTGATATATTTCGTCACACCGTTCCTGTCACTGTGTGCTAATGTAGTTCTAAGTATACTAACACTACGGACATTGGAAAAGTCAAGAGACATTCATGACAGCATTCCAGAAACACAGAGACGTGCCAGAGCAAGACGAACAAGTCGAATAGTTCAGATGGTGTTGTGTTCGGTCTGTCTGTACTCATGCTGTTACCTGCCTTCTTTCAGTCATAAGCTGTTAACTATGATTGATAGGACAAAGTTTGATAAAATCAACAGTGACGGTGAATTCATAGTCCACACATTACTACCAACTATCAATTCGTGTTTCAGTCCTTGGATCTATGTTGTGTTTTTGAACGACTTCTTGCAAGCAGCAAAGAACGTTTTTCGTTTTAGCGTGAGAAGAAAAGTCAACCAGCAGCCGCCTGGCCAAGAAATGGTCGTCATSAGTGGAGGCATCGCTGCAATCACAGATACTTAACTTGTCGCAATACTTCTTCATTAGTCTTTGACAATGTGTGCTACCAAAAAGGCCGACTATGTTGGTGTTGCGCGAACTTTGTAGGAAACTCAGTTTTTTTAATCTAAACATTTGTTTATGGAAATGGTAAATGATTCATATCATCCATCCAATCTCTACGTAACAATATGACCTTATAGATTATTGTTAATACTATTATCATTACTGTTATTACATATTACTAATAGATATGGTGTTTATCATCCATCCAATCTCTACGTAACTATATGACCTTATAGATTATTATTAATACCATTATCATTACTGTTATTACATATTAGTAATAGATATGGTGTTTATCATTGATAAACACCAGGCGCGTAGCGTCCTTTACGCATATACGCAAGTGCGTACTAGTGGCAAGGAAATATTACGATTTCGATAGCCCCTCTAATCCATAATACAATATGTGTCGCGCTCCATGACATGTGCGTACTAGACAGAAAGTCCACGCTACGCGCCTGAACACGATAACCAAAGACATCTATCGAGAAGAAAATTGTACTTATTCACTGGAAAAAATCGCGCACTTTAAAAGGTTGTAAATTTGATGTAAATATTATGTAAGCGTCCAAAATGATGTAAATTTGATGTAAATGATTTACAAATGATCAGTGCATATCTTTATTTTTTGATATATAACGCGCGCTCTGATTGGCTGACGAACGTGTTTATATCAGAGCACAGAGACACGGCTTATCGGCAAAATGTGTTTTTCGCTCCAAACGTTTTATAAAAAAACTACAAAACGGCCGCTTGTGTCTCTGTCCTCTGATATAAACACGGTGGGAGTTGAAAGCACTCGAGAAGCAAAAGAAACACTCGCTACGCTCGTGTTTCTAAGCTTGCTTCTTTCGTGTTTTTAATCCATTTAAAACAAGTCCATTGGATGAATAAATAGCAAAATGATAAAGCTAGGTGAAAAACTAACGTCAATCGATTTCAGATATCAACATTCAGTATTAACATAAAGAAGCGAAGAGCTATTCCCACTAGCAAGGCGTTTCCCCACCAGTTCCATATGCGCATTAGTTCTCTCTTTCATCTCTGTTTTCTTTCGCCCAAGTAGAAGACAGAACGGCAACGCACNATTCATAGTCCACACATTACTACCAACTATCAATTCGTGTTTCAGTCCTTGGATCTATGTTGTGTTTTTGAACGACTTCTTGCAAGCAGCAAAGAACGTTTTTCGTTTTAGCGTGAGAAGAAAAGTCAACCAGCAGCCGCCTGGCCAAGAAATGGTCGTCATGAGTGGAGGCATCGCTGCAATCACAGATACTTAACTTGTCGCAATACTTCTTCATTAGTCTTTGACAATGTGTGCTACCAAAAAGGCCGACTATGTTGGTGTTGCGCGAACTTTGTAGGAAACTCAGTTTTTTTAATCTAAACATTTGTTTATGGAAATGGTAAATGATTCATATCATCCATCCAATCTCTACGTAACAATATGACCTTATAGATTATTGTTAATACTATTATCATTACTGTTATTACATATTACTAATAGATATGGTGTTTATCATCCATCCAATCTCTACGTAACTATATGACCTTATAGATTATTATTAATACCATTATCATTACTGTTATTACATATTAGTAATAGATATGGTGTTTATCATTGATAAACACCAGGCGCGTAGCGTCCTTTACGCATATACGCAAGTGCGTACTAGTGGCAAGGAAATATTACGATTTCGATAGCCCCTCTAATCCATAATACAATATGTGTCGCGCTCCATGACATGTGCGTACTAGACAGAAAGTCCACGCTACGCGCCTGAACACGATAACCAAAGACATCTATCGAGAAGAAAATTGTACTTATTCACTGGAAAAAATCGCGCACTTTAAAAGGTTGTAAATTTGATGTAAATATTATGTAAGCGTCCAAAATGATGTAAATTTGATGTAAATGATTTACAAATGATCAGTGCATATCTTTATTTTTTGATATATAACGCGCGCTCTGATTGGCTGACGAACGTGTTTATATCAGAGCACAGAGACACGGCTTATCGGCAAAATGTGTTTTTCGCTCCAAACGTTTTATAAAAAAACTACAAAACGGCCGCTTGTGTCTCTGTCCTCTGATATAAACACGGTGGGAGTTGAAAGCACTCGAGAAGCAAAAGAAACACTCGCTACGCTCGTGTTTCTAAGCTTGCTTCTTTCGTGTTTTTAATGCATTGAAAACAAGTCCATTGGATGAATAAATAGCAAAATGATAAAGCTAGGTGAAAAACTAACGTCAATCGATTTCAGATATCAACATTCAGTATTAACATAAAGAAGCGAAGAGCTATTCCCACTAGCAAGGCGTTTCCCCACCAGTTCCATATGCGCATTAGTTCTCTCTTTCATCTCTGTTTTCTTTCGCCCAAGTAGAAGACAGAACGGCAACGCACTCACAATGATCACCAAGCTACCGATCATGTAGAATGCTGGGACATACGACTTGAAGTGATCTGCCATAAATCCTGTAATATCAACATTATATATTATTAGTAACAACAGTTTCTATTTGAAAACTGCTTTTCACAAACCTGTTAAACAGGTTAATAGCCTATTGTAATATACTGAATGCTCGCCAGTGAAGAGCACAGGTAACCCAGGAGAGGGCAAGCACAACAAAAATGGAGACAAGAAACAAAGTAAAATATCAAAGAGAACAAGGTCTTGCACCCCCCACATCAACATGCTGTTTTAGTGGTCAATCAATCGTTTGCAAAGGTGTTAAAATAATAATGATAAAGTTGCTATAGCTAACCTGCGATAGGTGGACCAATCAAGATGGGTATCGACTTGGTGACCTGACCCATCCCATAACCCACTGCGTCCTTTTGAGAATGATCAAAACATGTCAATAGGAAATAGTTTTGTGCTGTTACAAAACCGCCGTTACCSAATCCATAGTACACAGCGAATAGAACAAAATGATAAAATTCTTTAGCCTGTGTTAGTGGCACTAAAGAAGATCCAATCATAAAGGCAGACATTTGTAGACGTTGCATTGAAGACAACCACTTTTTATCGCCCATTCTTCCCACAATGACACGAGACAGACTCGAACAGGCACCGATAATGATGAACAGAAGAGACGCCTTTGAGCCAGAGATACCGCGATCTTTTGCGAACGAAATCTGAAGTACARCAAAAARTAATGTWAACACCATACAGTCAAACAACCACTCACTGATTATACTTACCAAATGTACCATGGCAACATAATAACCAAAGAACGTGGTCCAAATTACAATCATACCCAAGGTATATTTTCCGTTTTTCCACAATGAAAAATCAAACACATTGGAGCACAMATCTCTCAAGCCTCTTTTAAGTCTTTGTACGGTCTCCTCGTCTTTTTCAACATTTGGAGTAAAGGAAACACACAAAAATCCTGCAAGGACCCATATCCCTGACAAAAAACGAAGGGCATTTCTCCAGCCAAAGCTATCTGTCAATGTTTGCAATAAAGGAATAAGTGCAATTGTTCCAACTCCTGCTCCAGCTATAGCAAATCCTAAAGCTAAGCCCAAGTTTTTTACAAACCACTTCTTTATGACAAAAAGAAAGGCATTTATAGCAACACTGATGGATACTCCAATGAGAAGTCCATATGTGATTAAAATAATGAAAAACGTTGTGACAAATGAGCTTGCAATAAGCAAACCTGCAATAACAAGAGAACTGCAAAGGCCGCTAACTCTTTCGCCAAACTGAAAATTCAACTGGATGGCAAATGGAGATAAAAGGAAGATTAAACCACTTGTAATTGAGCCAATCCATGCTGCAAGAAAACAAAACAAAACCAGCAGTCATTAGGAAGGGAGACAATCCATATTTTGACATCCATATTCTGTAAGTAAACTACTCCCTTATAACTCCTAAAACTCATGAATTATTCATTAGACATTTTTCCAATGAGCATCTAACTATGGGTCTCATGACAGAACCTATAACTCAAGTTACAAACACTGATTAATTAAACATGAGATTTATAACTAACCAATTGAGTTAGTTATAACACTCATGCATAAAACATCAGTGTTGTAACTGATTTACAGACACTTGATGTATGCCCAACACTAGAAAAGTTCTCAGTTTTAGACTCTCATCGTAGAACTTCACTAGGATGTAGTTACTGCAGAGTCATAGTAGACTAAAACATAGTGGCGCTTGGATGTGGGAAACCAAGTTGATTACTGCTTATGCTCAGATGGAGCTATATCTTCATCAATTATTCATTTTTGATATTTTTTTATTTATTTTTATGTTAAACTAAAATATTGTAGAACTTTTCTTAGAGGTTTGGGTTTTAGAAGTCATTTAAAAAACTCGTAGTTTGTGTTTTATCGTGGAGGTATATCTCACAATAAAATACTCCTACATGTTTTTTAACTCACTAAGGATGGCAATTTAATATGATAAACTAGAACCAATGTCTAGGCATCCAGTGCAAGGCATGCACTACCACTGCACGCGCAGACCCAGCTGGTGGGTATAGCTACTTTGTGACCATTTTGTGGTGTGTATCCCTAACACATTGGAGTCACTACAGACTATGAAGTTTTAGTGATGTTTGTTTCACATTGCCTATGAATATATCTGACAAAAGACATGCTGCCATATGTATAAAAATTATTCATTACCAGTTTTTCCTTTACTAGTTTTGAATTCTTCACTCCATACAGGCAGTAGAACACCAAATGAATTTAGAAAACCAAAACAAACCATCAAACCCAATGAAGAACAAAAACACACAAACCATGCATAGCAATGGTCACGTTTATGAGGAGTTTGTCTTTTTTGACACAGAGGCATTTGTACATCTTGGTCCCTATGAATGATAGTATTATTACATTTTGATCCAAGTATTCCTCACTTCTTGCATGCTCTTTTTTACTTCCCAGCATGCTGTATTAAACAATGGAGTACTTGACTTGACAGCATGTGAGAGTTACCTGTAGAAACCTTTATCAAGCAACATCCAAGGGTGACTATCACAGCATAATTCAATATTAACTACTCTATATGTTTTTATTATTGCACAACACCCCTCTGCAAGTCCTGCAACGGCCCTATCCCATCACATGGACAACTCTCTCAACCAATGGGAATGGAGTAAAGTTTGTTGTTGAATTATAGTAGTAAGCAGTCAGCAAGGAAACGAAAGCAAACTTTCACTATATTATACATACAATTTTTTCATGTTATAAATTTCTTGATAATCATATTTACATTCTTTTACACAACAAATACAGATATAAAAAAGATATATGTGACCATCAAAGTAGTTTATATTTAAACGTTTAGGATTCCTATCTGCTCCATAAAGTCAATAATATATTGTCAATCATTGCAGCCTTTTAACTTTCAGTTATGTTTTCGATTTCAGCAAAATTTATCGGCCAAAAATTGATGATCGATCAGTAAACTCTCAGTTTGGTCAATTAGTAAGTAGATTTGTGAGCTGACCGGTCACGAAAATCAAGAATAAACCCTGGAACTATTTTTATAGTATCTTACCTTTACAATATCTTACATTTGACTTYTTCAAAATCAAATCAAAAGCCAACAAAACGAGGCAAACGCTTTTGTGGTTCTTAGCTGATTGATTTCTCGATCTACTGAACGTTGCATGCAAATGAATTTCAAAGTAAAATTGCATAATAATGAGTGTGCACGGGGTCGGTACAAAACATGGACCGGGGGTCCATGGACCGCCATCGTGGACCTATCCATGGACTGGTCCATGGACCAATTTTCGTGGACCACCCTAAAATATAAATATATATATTTTTTCATGTTTGTTATTTTAAAGCACTTGCCACGAGCTTGTACTTTGATGCTTAGAAGAAACTCGTGTTTACAATTTCACAAGCCGCTATTT